AAAATATTAACAATTATATATTTCTTGAAAAAAATATTACTAGCAAGAAATTTCTTTTTGGTACTATATAACCCACTGCGGTTGACATGCCTTAAAACAAAACAAAACTATGTACTATGTTATAGAGGATGACATAGATCGGATATGGGACGGAACGGCTGAAAGGAAAATGAATGGCAAACATATCATTAAGACATACAAAATATATATATATATATATATATATATATATATATATATATATATATATATATATATATATATCACAGCAAAACAGGGTGTTCAGGAGAAACCAAAATGGAAGAGTTTTTACATATAATATGGAGATACTACTCTGTCTGGAGAAGTCATTTTTAGGATTTAGGTTCAAACGGGCCGGATTCATCTATGTCCCAAGCGAGAACATATTCCATAAACGGGAAACGGCGAATCTCGGGTTTTCGCAAATTGAGCACCCCGAGCTGAAGTTTCTTTCTATATATGTGAAAAAGGACCGTGGACGTGTGAGCTGCTGGGAAGGTCGATTTAGCCTTTCCCCGCGCCATGGCGGTCACGCGCTAAAGGAAGCATTCTTTTGGTTTGCTGCAGTAATATGAACTGTATTTGAGTGCCGCTGTGGTCACTGTATGGAGTGACGTCACTAAGCGGCACACGGCCAACCAAAGGGAGATAAGCGCTTTATGCATCCCTGAAAATCTAGAATTTGTCATAATTGTTTGTTTTAAATTTTTTTTAATTAATATAGATTTTTAAAGTGTTTCTCCATAGGCAATACAATTGATAGGTAGTTATGAAGAGAATTAGATAGATAGATAGATAGATAGATAGATAGATAGATAGATAGATAGATAGATATGAAGTGAATTACATAGATAGTTATGGACAGAGATAGATGAATATAGTTACGAAGATAGACAAATAGATAGATAGATAGATAGATAGATAGATATGAAATAAATGTGATAGATAGATATCTCTGTTTCTCTCTCTCTTCTCTCTAATATTTCTATATATATATATATATATATATATATATATATAAATTAATTAGATTTAAGATAGATAGATTATTTTATTAAAATAAGATAGATAGATAGATAGAAATTTGAATTGAATTGATAGATAGTTATTTAGAGATAGATAAATATTTTTAAAAAGATATATAGATAAATAGATAGATATATATATAGATAGATAGAATGAAATATATGAAATAGATTTCTCTCTAGATATATATATATATATACGTATATATATAGATATGAAACATTAAAAGAGATAGATAGATAGATAGATAGATAGATAGATAGATATAGATAGATATGAAGTGAATTACATAGATAGTTATAGACAGAGATAGATAAATATAGTTACGAAGATAGATAGATAGATAGATAGATACGAACAGACCGAAAGAGATAGATAGATAGATAGATAGATAGATAGATAGATAGATAGATAGAAATGAGAATTCGATACATAGAAAGAAATGAGAATTAGATAGATAGAAAGATAGAAAGAAAGAAAGAAAGAAAGAAATGGGAATTAGATAGATAGACAGACAGACAGAAAGAAATGACGTGAATATATATATATATATAGATAGATAGATAGATATGAAGTGAATTACATAGAGAGATAGTTATGAACAGAGATAGATAAATATAATTACGAAGATAGATAGATAGATAGATAGATAGATAGATAGATAGATACTAAAACAAAACCTTTAACGTTCAATCTAAATTTAAATCTGCGATGCCACCAAAGAAAGCTTTCTAGCCATTCTCACTCTATCGGATTTTCTTCGATCTGTGAATTCCACGCAGAAATCTGAATTCCAAATCTAAGACGCCTGTTTTTTTTTTTTTTTTTTTTTTCTCGCCTAATTCCTAAATATTTTTCAACTTGAGTCTCGTCACAACAGGCCCAGGATTCTCAAAGCATTTACCACAACACTGTACCACACTTCAATTCATTTTTATTTATAACTTCTCACTCAATTGGTCTAACGAGCCCAGCGATAAATATATCGACTACAATTACACACCGGTTTCTTTTGAGGAATATCTGTAGATGTTAGCAATTTCGCGCCTCTTTTATATCTTTCTCTCTTTTTCTCTCGCGTTTCAAATATTTTTTTTTTCTTAGGATGACTTAGGCTGTAATTTCGGATTTAATGACGATTCGAGTGTGGGTCGAATTTGTTCAAGATGCGATAGTCACACTGTCGATACTGGGGTTATTCCTATTTTAGGTTTTAAAGAATTGATTAAGCAGTGAAATGGTCCTCTCAAATCAATCCCTCCGGCTTCCTGGAACTGATCTGAGGCATTTGGTTCGCGTAACTCAAGGTGAAAACTATAAGCTCTATAAGAATGAAATTGTTTATTGAAGATTTTGTGGTAAAGGTGTTTGGATTCTTTTTTTTTACCTTTTCTTTTTTTTCTTGTCGTAGGGTTACAGTTGTCTCAAGGCGATGGCAGGGGTTAAGGTTTAGACCTTCTTTTTATCTTGCAATCAAGATGTTCAAAAATGGGGAGAGTTATCTTGAGTGCCAAACCATTTTTAACTCATTATAGAAAGTCATTCTTTATTTCTTTCTTTTTGACTTGATTTGAATCTTCCTCCTCCTCCTTCTTTTTTTCCGCCTCCTCTTCTTTTTTCTTCTCTTTTTCTTTGTCTTCTTCTTCTTCCTCCTCTTCTTTCATTTCTACTTCCTCTTCCTCCTCTTCTTCCTTCCTCGTTTTTTCCTTGTCTCTTTCTTTCTCTTTTTCCCATCTTCTTCTTTGCCTTTCTCTTCTTCCTCCTCTTCTTCTTCCATTTCTCGTTCTTTTTTTTTCTCCTGTTCTTTTTTCTTTTTTTTTAACCAACTTTTTTCTTCCTCCTCTTTTCTTCTTTCTATTTCAACAAACTTCTTCCTCCTTTTTTTTTCACGAGTCTTCTTTCTTTCTTAGCTTCTTCCTCCTCCTCTTCTTCCTTTCTTTTTTTCTCTCCTTCAAGGAAGTTTTTTTCTTTTTTTTTTTATTTCTTCTTCTCTTTGATTCTCTGAAATTTTCTTTATTTTTTCTTTTCTTTTTAGTTTAAAAAGAATTTTTCTATCTTTTTTTGATTTTGAATTCCTTTGTAAATCAAAAAGATCTTTTACTTTTTCTTCTAATTCCTCTTCTTCTTTTTCTTCTTTTTCTTAATTTAGTAATTTCCCTTCTTCCTTGTTTTTTTTTTTTTTTCTTCTTTTTTCTTTTCTTTTCTTTTTATTATTAATCTCTTCTTCCTTGTATTTTTCTTTTAATTCTTCTTTAAAACTATTTCTTTCTTTTTTTAGAATCCTCTTCTTCTTTTTTTCCTAAATTTCTTTTTTTCTCCCTCTTCTTAATTTTTCTTTTCTTTTACTTCTTTTTTTCAATTTTTATATTCTTTAGTGGATCTTCTTCCTTCTCTTTTTGTCGAACCCTTCTTCCTCTTCTACCCCTCTTCTTCTCTTTTTTCTTCGTCCTTTTTCCATGATTTTTCTTCTTCTTCCTCCTTTTTTTTCCTCTTTTTAAACTTTTTTTCTTTCTCTTCTCATTTGCATTCTTTCCTTCTTTTTTAATCTCTTCTTTTTTTCTGTTTTCTTTGTTTTCCCCGCTTTCTTTTATAAACTATTTTCTTTCTCTTTATGTCTTTTTCTTTCTTATGATTTCTCTATTCTTCATTCTTTCCTTCTTTTTTCATCTCTTCTTCTTTCTCTTTTCTTCTTTATATTCTGATATATATATATATATATATATATATATATATGTATATTTCAAAGTAATTTATGGAGTCTTGAAGAAAACTCAATAGCAAAATTGGATGGCCGCAGAACCACATTTTTTCGAACTCATCCAGTTGCGTATCCATACGGGAGAATCGAACACAGACTGTTAGGATACAACGCAAACATCATACCAACTCGGCCTTTTTTTTCGGTAACGAAGAGGTAACTAAAGTAGACTCGACATAGCGCCGCCACCCACTAAATTCTGTGGTGTATCTCATCAAAGTTTCATCTTAACCCAACAGATTTTGCCCCACGTCTTTTTTTCCTTAAAGACCATTAGAAGCCGGATCAATTAATGGGAAATACAAATACAAATTTATATATATATATATATATATATATATATATATATATATATATATATATAGTGCTGAAAAAATTAATTTCAGTTGAGTTATCTGGGGAGAGGGTGGGTTTGTAAACAGTAACTATTATGGCTGATATAGCGAGAATCTATCGGCAAAAGCGAATTGAGCCACTGTCAGTCATGTGTTTTGTTTATCTGTAAAAATAAATAAGATAAAATATACATTTTTACCTTTTCAACGGCTTAGTGGTAGAATCTCAGACTGACGCCAATTCAGTCGGGTTTCGATTCTAGCTAATTTCATAAGAATGTCTAGCCACACTAAAGACCTGCGAAATAGTCTGTTTATATATATATATATATATATATATATATAAAAAATGTTTTCACCTAAATGGATCTTCAGTGTAAGCTGGTTTATATATATATTAATTAAAAGTTATTTTTAGTGGTTATTCGTATTTGAGTAGACGCTCGGTTCATTCATTTTCAGTATATTCATTTATTTTCGTTTACAGGCCTGAATATTCGAGAAATATTATTAGAGTCGTATTTGCAGGATTTGACCGTACGTCCTTGGGGGCAGAGGAAACTGCCGTTAAGTTCGGCCCAACTTAAGAGCTGTCGGTCAGGCGAGGCCAAATTTAGTGTCTCAAAGCGAAATGTTTCCCGTCATAGAATCTCTGGAAGTTCTTCACATCTGTACAGTTTTGTGTCCAGACGTAAAAAAGCAGACTTTTTAGAATGTCTTTTTATTAATGCGACGGAAATTTATTTCAGTCTACCGAGCTGAAAGTTCGAGAAATATATGCACATATATCGTACATAGTACGAGAAATATATATTTTACATAAATCAATAAATAAATAAATATATATATATGTTGAAAGT